CTCTTTTTGTTAGGGCACACAGCAGTGGTTTCATCGTTACTGGTATGATCCAAGTTAGGTTGAAGAATCTCATTGACTTGAGTCCTTTGCAATAGATTCTCAAGTTGCACTGCTTTATTTTCAGTTTGATTTGGACTCTCCCTTCTCTATTTTGACCCGATTAATTCAATCTTTCTGAGATGCTTACTCTTTGCAGTAAAAAAACAAGGGTCTAATTGCATGCAATTCCTATTTAGAGATTGAAAATAACCTTTTCAGCTCCAGACTGCATTAAGGTGTAAAGTGAAGCATCATGAAAGGCAGAGATCACTTGTGGGCAGTCTGGAGCGAATGACAGGAAATGAGAGGGATTTATTCAAAAATACTCTTATATTATCTAGGCCAGTAGAATATTTTCAGGCAGTTTACTAATTTATGATACACTTAATATGTGTGACAGCATAAAATACCCTTAATTTTAAATTTTCTATAATATATTACAACTTGTTATCAAGGAAACATAGATCATTTCATTAACTATGAAACAATTTCTTCCCACTGTCTCCTACTCTTTACCAAGGCACCCTTGTATTTTGCTCAGACTGTTCACTTAGATGGACTTTAGTATCTGCTTTGGTCCCTGTGTGCAACACTTCCCTCTCCAGAAAGAGTATCCTTGCCCCTCCTGTCCATGGAGGGAAACCTTTAAAATTTAGTTTTCTTTCTTTTTTTTTTTTCTTTGTTCTGTCTTTTTCTAGGACAGTACTGTGTGCAATGTATCTCTCCTGCTGATGCTCTCACACCTTTGCCAGACAGCTGTAAAGATAACATCACATCTGTTTTTCCCTGGGGAGCACATTGAGACAAAGTGCTTGTTTACATAAGAATGTGCTAACCTGATAAAGATGCATTCATTTCTTCTTCACAGTCTCTCTCCCTTTGTAGGTTAACTATTTTTGTTCAGCTACCCTTGAATCTATGTGGTTGAGCCACAAACCGTCATCAATTTATGTGTATCAGGATTTCAGGAGAAAATGGTATATACAGCAGGAACTGTAATAGTTTTCTTTCCGATAGCTGGCTTGCTCCATAAGTCCCAGTTTGAAAATAGAATGCTTTCTATGTTATTAAAAGCAATCTGTAAGAAACAGGTCTTTCAGGTAGATTACTAGTGAGATATGGCTCTACATTGTTGCAGCTGAATGCAGGTTATAGGTTATGGTTATTTCATAAGTAAAAACGTGTCACAGGTATAAGAACTAACTCAGAATTTCAAGTAATCATAACCTGACAATGCTGCTGCTATTACTGTGTATGATCCAGTGAGTCGTGCAAGAAGCTTTGCCCTGTAATTGGTAATTCCATCTGGCTGGCAGAGGTTGCCCACAGAGCAGTTTGTACTGCAAGTCTTTTTACCTTCAGCTGTGCTGTGACCTGGGAGTAGGGCTGGAAAATAATAACAAATCATGCGATGTGAGCTAGAAAAAGGTGCCTGGGGAGGACCTGTGTCAGAGAACAAAGTGACTCTGGGGTGATTTCTGTACAGTGTTTAAAAAGAGAGTG